GCAAATGGGTGTAATTAATTGTTTATGGCTGGTTAGTTTATTGTATATGCAGAAACATGGAAAAGTATAGTATATGGGTCTATACTAATAGATTATATTCCAATCATCACGCCTAAAACTAAATTTTTATACCATGAACTGGCTAGGAGATGGCATATAGAAAATTGACAAATGTGCACTACCAGTAGGAGAGGATGATTAAAAACGATGATTTTCAAATCATCATCATTTGTCATTTTTTATTATAAATTTATATTTTATGATGTATTTTTTAAAATTACAACGAATATATATAAAAAAATAAAAGATAAAGCCCATAAAAGCATTGAATGTATATAAATTTCTAAAAAAAAAAAAATTTCAACTCGTAAATGTCACTTATTATTAACGTCAACGGTTTTGTTTGTTTTTAAATATTCACAACATTAATTATTATAAAATTATAAATTATATTCTATAAAATAAAATTAAAATTAAAATTAATTAAATTAAATTATTTGAATTATTATCACTATCATTAAAATTGTTATTATTGTTATTATTGTTATAATTGTTATTATTGTAATTACTACTGGTACTATTATTAATAGTATTAAAAGTACCTCGACCCAAATGTTTTTGTTGCTGTTGTTGATGATAAGGTGATACATCTACAGGTGAATTTGTTGAACTATTATTATTACTATTACTATGACTATGATTGTGGTTATCATGATATACTACACTACTACGAGCCGAACTAAGAGGTGATGACATTAAACTGCTAGCAGGACTACTAGTAAAAACATTATTATTTCCTAATATTGGACCTCCCGCTAAAGGTGGTGGTATCATCAAAGAATCAGCCCGGGGCCTTGTACTTGTACGTTTACTAACTCCTCCACGTGGATTAAATGGTAATGGTGGAGCTGATTGTAAATATGATTTGTCGAAACCAGCAAAATTTGATATCACAGATGTAGGCCTTGAGGAAGCAAAAGCCGAAGGTGGTGTTGTAGTTAGTGTAGCAGGTGTTGATGTTATTGATGATGCTGATGATAGTACATTATTGTAATTTTCATCGGGCGACATTTGAGCCGTTGAGAAAGGTATTAACTGTGAATTACGTATCTTCATTCGTTTTTCCCTTTCCCATTCTGCCCATTTCTTCATCACTATTCTCGAACTGTCAAATACACCTTCTTTACGTGAATGATCCTCACCAGAGACTTCACCCTCAACCACTCTCGTTTGTCCCCATGAGAAATCATCAAAATGCCAATATGCATAAACAGGTAAAACAAAATTCCATATCGGTAGCGAAAACAAATAAACCAACATCCATCCAACATAAATAAGTTTTCGTGTGGTGAGTAATATAAGCACGGCTGGCAAACCTAAAACAGCTGCTAAAAGTAATAGAGGTATCACTGGTACAGGACGTTTAACAAACGATATGATGACAAGATACACTGTGAATGTAATTGCAGCTGGCAACACCACTGTTCCCACCAATTCCATAAATATGACAAATTGCATAGAGAAACAAAATGTACCGCACAAATCTGGTATCAGCACAAGTTCCAACAAGTTATGAACTGTTGAATTGATCCATCTACGTCTTTGAGATCTCAGAACTTTAAATGTGTCTGGGACAATTGTTTTACAAATAGCTTGTGGCACAAACATCATTTTCCTTTTAGGAAAAGTTTTAAGCATCAGGGTTGTTAGGTAGCGATCTTCTCCAAGTAGTAAAAGATTTTTTTTGTGAAGTGTGTCAACTATATTTTCAGAATATTGTTCAACGATATCTGGATTTGCTAAAATTGGTACCCAGTATCCGTTTGGTCCTTTTGGTGCTTTGATACGATACATACAGAAACAACCGGGTAAACATGTAACACCACCAAATATTGATTCGAATGCTTTTTGCATATGATGATTAATATAATATTCAAAAACTATGAAACAATAAAAATGTTAATAAACATACATTTTATAATTATTAATATGATTTATTAATGGCATTATTTAATAATTTAGATGAATTACCTTGAATTGCAGTAACCCAGCTATCAGTTTTATTTGCAATTTTTGTTTCACCACAAAGTCCCATTACATTAGGATCTCTTGACATACAAGCAATCATACGAGTTAATGAATCAGGATAAATTTTAGTATCAGCATCAACCTATAAAATTAAAATTAAAAAATAAAAATAAATCGTTATTTAAAGCGCAAATATTAAAAAAAAATCTCCCTCTCCTTTTTTTTTTAATATTTACCATCAGAACAATTTCAAAGTAATCTGGTGTGACGCCACTAACATTACGAACTGCGTTAAAAAACTCATACTCAAGAGGTGTCATTCTTTCATCAAACATGACTTTTTGTAGAAAGCCCATTAAAATAATTTGAGAGTCTCTTTTTCCTCTATTACCAGGTTTCTTGTCGTCCTGTTCTTCTGGACCACCACACTTTACAACAGTTACCATTGGTATGCGTTTAGTTTTATTTTCCAAATCTTTATAACTATAGAAACCAGCGTAAACTCTTGCCATATTATGACGTTTTTTACCATCAGCAATAGCAACATAGGAGTGAGCTTGTACCAATTCTGGTAATATGAAGAAGTCATTCATCAATGATAAACAAATATCTGGAGTTGATTTATCGTTTCCTGATCCTTTTATTATACCATCAGCTATCACCATAATAAGCTTATGTGAAGAGGGATAGTCGGTATTAGCCAACGAGTCCAGAGTGGTTCTAAGGCCCTGTTCACCCTCAGAATAACAAGTGACCAATAATATAGTGTGTATAAGCGGGAAATTAAAACGTTGTTCAGGCTCTTGGGGTAATTGCTGGAAAGAAGAAGTCTGGGCAAGAGATGAAGTGGAAGATGACATGGAGTCAGTACGAGTGTGATTGTACTCGTTGATAGAAGAGCGACGACTTGTCCTTCCTGAATCCGTTTCTTTAAAGTGTCCTGTGTTAAAACTATTAGTTGTAGATAACGGTCTTACAAGGGAAGTAGTTGAACTGTTTTTATTAAAAATATTCTCACCGGACCCATTCCCATTCGGCAAATTGTACATCCTTGTGGAACGATTGTCTACTCTTCTGTTACGATCATAAGTTCCAGTACCTGGTGATTGAGTTGAATATCTTGATGTACTTAAAAATTTGAACGAATTTCTAAAAAAGAGAATAATTAATTAATTGATTTTGTAACTGATATGGTAATACAATACAACTCAACAAAACTATATATATATATACCTGTTGTTAGTGGCGGGAGAAGAGGGAGCAGGTGGTGGTTTAAAATGTACATTTTCATCTGACCATTTTTCAATATCTCGTTCACGCATAGCAAGTTCCTCTGCGGTTTCCTCACGAAAACTGCCCAATCTCCAACTTAATATCCAACCAAACAATACGGCCAAAGAAAATCTGACCAATACCACACCAACGATTACCATCAACGAAACATAAGTTACAACATCAGTGATCATACACCCTATTGAATTAAAATCTACAACACCAACTCTGATTGTCTCCTCTAAACATTTTGCTAATTGGATGCGATCCACATTTTGCTGCATGTAATAAGTTAGATCACGACCTCGATAATTGTCAATTTCGGTCACACTGATTTGCTTTAGTAACGGAATCATCTCAATGTTTGGAACCAAATATTTAAGTTTTCCCAAATCGAGCACATTACCATTATGAACAACAAAATTGCGATCACCTCTTTGTACATCATCCCAATCGAAAAATACGTCACCGACATAAATTAAAGCATTAATATCAGATTTTGAAACGTCGACATCATGACACCCAAAATTAATAGGATTATCAGTAGGCTTAAGATCCGAAAAATCATCAATTGCATCAGTTGCATTACAAGGGAAATAGTTTTGAAGTTTTCCATTTTTGGGTATTAGAATATTTTTACATTCGTTATTTAGAGTTTGAAATAAAAATGATATATCCTTTCCACCGGCCAAACCATTCAATAAATTCCCGCCCTTTTTCTCAGTGATATCAGGTAATTCAACAGGATGTGGATAGTCGGTTAGATCATAGATACTACCTAGTATGACAGCTTGTTGCAGACTGACACCGCCTACACGAACTCTTGGTGGAGGTATGCCACATAAAGCTTGAGTGAAACCAAAAGTCAAGAAACCCACGGCGGCACAAAGAATCAATATTATAGATACCAAAGCCATTTTTTCTCTCCAAGCTCTTTGAACCAATTTATCATGCATACCAAAACAAGATAATAGAGAAGGAGGAATACAACAAGTGACACAGTTGGTATATATTAACCAAGTGGAAAAGCATTGACATTTATACCACTTTCTTTTTTTAGGTGGTTCTCTCGTTGAAAGTCTTCTATTAAGTGGTCGACTCAAACGTCTCTCATCGCCACCGTCGCCATTACCACCAGCCCCGACACTGCCATTAGCAGTAATATTAAGAGCATTTGGAGGAAGGATACTCCATCTCTCAGTGGAATCATCGACAGCAAAATTTGTCACACCTCTACTTATTCTACGTTGATTTCTCCTTGCACGCTCAGGTCTTATAAGAGATTTTTGTCTACGAGGTCCTGATTCAGATTTCGGTATGTCTTGACCATTATTATTATTACCATAATTATTGTTGTTGACGTCGTTATGGTTGTTATGATAATCAATATCATTATTTAGTACAAGAGTTGTTCTTATTTTTGGTACTTGTAAACTGTTATTATTTGTGCTATCATTTGGACGAGGTCTATAGTTCTTTGAGATAGATGGAATTTTATTAAGTTTATTATTATTTCCGCTGTTGGCATTTTCGTCATCCTCTTTATGATTTTTGGGTAAGGATTGGATTGGGTTTTTGCCTAATCAGTTCCCCTGTTCTATAGATTAAAATTATCGCACAATTATACACATCCTTGTCAGCAATATAGCTGACAAGAAAAAAGTTATAAAATGGTTCGGATTTTGGTATGTTTTGTACAAATTAATCATTTTCATAAATTTTCTGCTTCTCTTTAATTTTTATCTGACCAACTGAACTTGTTATTTTAGTAAATGGGGGGTAGGGTTGTTGGTGAGTAGGCATGCCACTGACAAGACAGGGGATGCCTTTGGGATATACCAGCCAAACTCATAGAAAGGGATCTTTTGTCCAGAATTTGGGTCACATGGATGTTAAGCACAGAAAATGTACACTATCAATGTATATATTTTTTTCAACAAAATAAACATTTAAATAATTAATTGTTAAATATTAATACTTTACTTTTCATAAAAATTACAGCAACCCAGGACTCAAAACTCTGAATTCAGGGAAAATCCCAAAACAGCAATCCAGGTTGCAACCTCCAGAGTTGCTGAATTTTCAACCAGTTGCAGACACTGACTTTATGCTAGTGTGGCAATAACACACAGCAAGCATCATACAAGCACCAGCTACCAGTGATCAATGCCCATATGGTGACAGCCAGCTTGGTCTTAGGGGGGAGATAAGGGAAAGTTTTGTCCAAAGCCTTCCAACATGTTTAAGTCCACTACACCCGTGGAAAAAAATCCATGGTGCTGAATTGCGCTTGCGCTGTCTTGCATGTATGTGATAGGAAATTTCAATTAAATCTGACACCTGTGATCAACATCAGATTTATTATTCATAAGGAACCATGATTGATAATCATGAAGATTAATTTATTATTGTGAATCCCAGAAATCTGGGTAGACAGGCATTATTAAAAATTTCATTCATGCATGGCCTTGGTATTATTACTGCTTGGGTGATGCAATTGTTTGTTATCTCAATATTGAATAATAATCATGACCATCATGAATATTTGATGGATGGAGGCATTCACATACAGGGAAATGATTAAACAGCTAAGTCATGTTTGTTTTGTTTTATTAAAGATATATAATTAATTATATTTAAAAAATTATTATTTTATTTCACCTTTGTAATGGCATTAATTTCAATAATTCTGAAATTGTTTGTTTCTTAGTGTTAATGATTGAATCAATCACA